GACAGTCCATTGTACATCACAGGGGGAATACTTCCCATTCTTTGATATTTCTCACAGATGAAAGAAAGTACAAAACATTACCTCTCTCCGCTGCTGCTCTTTCTTCACACCTTTTTCTTCTCAGGTTCTTTGAGTATTATGGCAACAGTGATCATCTCTTCTGGGATGCTTGGAAGGTTCTTGCTGGTTGTGGTTCTATCTATCTGTATTGCAGTACTTAGTTTTCTCATTAGCCCTGTCCAAACGCACAGCCTGTACATTTCTTATCACCTGCTTGAGGCTAGAATGTGGAAATCAAGACACCAGCTGCATATTCCTACTGGACCTTAGTTCTTCTCCAGGCAGGTACCCTCACCTGCCTGTGGAGCCAGTCTTGCTGGCTCACTTACTGTAAAGCTCAAAATCTGTGTCAGAGATCAAGGCAGAACCTAGAGTGACTGAAATTTGATTTTGGGTTCCACGCTATGAGATGGAATAAATGCTCTCAGATGTGTTCAGGCACAAAAAGGGGCTGAATCCAGCATGTAACATGTGGGGGAGGGTGACGGTAGAAAAATTCCCTCAATTCTGAGTAGTGTTAAAAAGGTTCCAAAAAATGTTCATCTTCTCAGCTGTTCAAGGAGGTTGGGAAAAGCCTATTCTGCAAATTTTGATGGTGTTTAGCTGTGGCTTAGATACTGACAAGCTTTAGTCATGTCTGTACCTGCTCAGTATTAAAAAGCTAAGGTACATTGGGTGCTGAGAATGCTGGAAGCAGTTTCCAGGGCCTGGGCCAGTGAGCACTGACTTGTTGGTATCCCTACAGCTGTAGGCTAGCTCTTTCTTCAGCAGGGGTCTGCACCCCATCTAGTCCAATGTGAGCCCTAAACCTAAAGGTTATTTTTCAGATGCTCTTTGTGGTTGCCTTACTCAGCTGTGCTGAAAGTGTGAAGTTGAGGAGGTAGAGAAAAAAGCTTGCAAGTTGGTGAGGATGAGACAAGAGTTGAAAAGTAACAGGGGAAGGCTGAATCCTATCTGAGTTCACTCTGGATTTAGCAGTGTTCTCCAAATACCTGGGAATTCAATTGTGTCTGCCAACATGTGGCTTATATGTACATATTTGCTTTCTATGACAGTACAAGATTGCAAAAAACTTATCTCATACAGATGGAACATACCTAGTCTTTGCACTTGCATTTAATTCAATATGAAATGTTAATATATGTCTGCAGCATATGCTAAATTCTCCTTTGCTCCGTGTTAAAGGGTAGGAGCCCAAAGAGACACTCAGCAGTCTCTAGGACTTAGAGCAATGCTAAAACTCAATGACAACTTTTTAGTCTTCTTCACCATGCTTAGATTCCACGTGGTGTGGCACGTTCAAGATCTGTAGGGTGGTGGTAATAGCAGCGTGAAACTGGAAAAGGGTCTGTTTGCTTGAGGACTACCTGTTTTTCTATTAGATAGTCTGAGAAAAAAATGTTGCAACTCTGCCAAGTTTACCCTCCTAAAGTATTGCTGTGGATGCATTTTTTTGTTGGCAAACTGAATGTATTAACAGTTATTGCAAAGACAACCTTGGAGCTCCATGTTAGCATGATGGTCTGTGTTAGCTGACTTACTGAGGACTTCCAGAAAGTCCTCAATGGATGGAAGAATCATTTCCTTCCAGCTTCTTCTCTTGACTAATTTAATTTAGCAGCCTTTCTACCTTCGATTTTTTAACTTGCAACTAAAGATCTTTTCCCTACATCTTTCTGCACACAATTTATCATATCTTTCTTTGTATGAAGCAGTTTCACACACGAATGCATGTACAGCAGAATGGTTTTACTAGAACCTGCTTCTCTTCAGAGGAGACAAATATACTTGGGTTTCCTTCTGGCACAGGCTCAAAATGCTAAGCTATAATGCTGAATTTCTCATTTGGCCTCCTTTCCTGTTTGTTGTTAACTCCAATGTGGGAGTTGATCATATAAACACAGAAATACAGAGTACAGGGGGAAATACATTCTGTTTTGTCCTCTTTGTATAACTCTGGATCTTGTTGGCTATGCTAATGCATTGCTTGCAACAGGTTAAATAACCGTGGTGATGAGGAACAGGTGGTGATGAGGAGTTAATGTGAGAGGACATGGAGAAATCACACTGCGCGATAGGAAGTTGTTCCTCCCAGCATTTTTCTGTGCTAGCCTATTCAAAGTGAGACTCTGTAACTGTATCTGTGACTGCACTAGAACATGCAACAGCATTGAGTTCAAGTGCTAAACAAGTATATATCCTGTTTCAGCTAATTCTAGCATCTGAGATTCTAGGTGGCAGTCATTCCCCTCGATGTGCAAGTGCCCAAACACTGTGATGAAGAGTTAGGCCTTGATAGGACGCCGTGCTACTAAGCTGGAAAGAGGAATTTTGCACAAAAGGATTTAAAGCTAAAACAGAGCAAACAAAAAGCCCATAGCTAGTCAAGGTATCCTGAGAGTTGGGAAAGACAAACCTGCTGGGCAGGTATTCCCTAATAATGTAATTTTGACATTACTAGCCTGCCTCGATATATCCTCTATTTGTTCAAAGAAAATCATCTGCTCCTCTCAGTTATTTCAAAGTAAAGTCACAAGAATAGCTTGTTCCCACTCTATTCCAAATATAGCTGTTGGCAGCGATTGCTGAGATAAGGGGGAAGGAAAAGGAACTACCAAGGAAGAGGAAAGACAGGAGGGGGAAGAGAGAAAAGGAGCTGAAAAGGTTGGACAACAGAGAGTAAAGAGAGACGTGAATGAGAGGAGAGGTGAAAGAGTATGGACAGTACATCTCAGCAGAGAAAATAAATCAGAGAGTAAAATAAACTCCAGCAAAAGAGGTGGGAGCAACCCAAATACAGAATAAAGAAAGACTGTGCCCACCCCGAAGAGCTGTTTGAGTTTCAGCCTTGAAAAGTAACCAAACCTTAAATAAAACCATGCCCAATTTTGACTTGCACTCAGATTGTAAGGGTTAGAGCATCAGAAAACTTATGCTAATTTACACTGCTTGAAGATCTGGTCCTAGAAATTTTAAAGCAAAACAAGTTGCTTATTTTAATCTCTTGTGGGATTTTTTAAAAATTGTCTGCTCCAAAAAAACTTTGTTGGCAGTTTCAGAGAGAAAGCCATCCACTGAGTAAATTTGCTGGCACTGAACATCAATACTCTTCTCAGAAGTCTGCAGTCAGGATGGTCTTCTGGTGAGACTTGAGCATCTAGGCATGCCCTCGGGAGCAGGAAACAGATGATGATAAAAACTCAGGAAAAGTCAGAACCACCCTCAGACTGATTTACCCAGAGCAAAGAGATGAGGGGTTTCGAGGCTCACGGCAGACTGGTTTAAGACTAAGGCAACAAAGACGTGAGAATAAATGGGAACAGGTTGTGAAAAACAGCACACAGACAGGGCAAACACAAAGGAGTCCTTGGCAATCCAGAAATCCAGTGAATGGCTCTAGCTTCCCTGGAGGGTTGGGAAGTTTCTGAGAAACATTCCCCAGAGCTGCTCTGCTTCTCTTCTCAGAAGACAGGTTGGAAAACGGTGCTAGAGTTCCTTCTCTCCTGCTTTACTGAAAAGAGATGTGATATATGACCTTACTCTTCAGCTGAGATTAAGGAGACTTACCCAGTTCCATTTCCTATAAACTGGGTTTATCTGGAAAGCCTGGACAAGCTTTCTGAGTGCTCAAATGCAAGGTAATGGGACCACCAGAGCTGAAAGTGTGACACTTGCTATACTTCTTTTATTTCAGTCCTTCAAGGAAGAAGGCTGCTTGCACTGTTAAGGGATGTGCTCTATCACCCTCACACTGGACTGAAGGACCAGTGCGGCTATTAACAAGAGATATTTACACAAAATACAGGAGGCACATTAGAGCAGGAAATACAAGAGTAAATGAAGCTGCTTTTGGAAGATGGGACTAAAAAGCAGAGCTTAGCAGTCAGACTATTGCTATTCAGAGACAAAGTCATCATTATTTTGAGAGTCTTGTCAAGTGGATGGTATGTTGTATTAGCTATATCTGTCTTCCCTGTTATGAGATGCAACTTATTTTGTTGTTTTCAAGGCAAGCATCACACAGAGCTGTTATTTTACCCACTCAGCTTGTACACATGAGTAGGAGCAGCCATCTTTGGACCCAGAGCAATGTGCAGTTTGCAGACAACCTGTGAAACTTCTGGGCTGGGTGGCATGGTTGGTGTTGGGCTCCTGGGCAGTGAGAGATCCTGCAGGTAGCAGTGAGTGCTCCCAGCCCCACGGGACAGGCTGTGGAGGACAGCTAGGCTGGGTTGCCCGCTCTGTGGCATGTTCCTCTCTAGGGCACTTGGTATCTGACCCTAATTCTATGGGGAGAGAGAGGTTGTAACCTGTGGGATTGCAACTATCAGGCAGCCCTGACAGTGGGATCTGTGACCCACCCAGGCTGTGTTTTGTGCCTCCACAGACAACACATCCGCGGTGCAAAGCTAAAGAGAGGCGTTTCACGGCGGAACACCATGAGCGTTGACCTAAGACGCCGCTTTCTGCTCCTCAGTCCGAGTCCTCCGGAACTCCGGCTTGCCTGCTCCCAGGAGAGGGCAGTGGAGCCGCACACGCTCCGTGCCGCGGCCGGCGGGCCGCTCCGTTCCTGCGGGGCTGCGCGAGGTGAGCAGAGACAGGAGGACGGATCTAATAACGTGTGCTTGCAAGCGTGTACGAGAATATCCAGGAAGTGTTCTGCGTGTTTAATAACGAGAGTGAGTTGTCTGTAAACAAAAATAGATTTGGGGTGACGAAGATTACGGTTGCTTTTATTTGACTGGAAGTTTTCTCTGTTATGTTATGTGTATTTGTTTATGGCCACACACAGTTATACTAGTAACTTGCTGATTCCACACAAGTTTGTTGTAGCCTGAATTAGAAAATGTTATTGATATTTATATAACCATTTGGGATGCTGCTAAGGCTCTCCTGTGCCAAATCCTCACAATAAAGTCATTTACTTATTTCACATTTACAGGCATGCATCCTAAGACAACAAGGAGCCTTGGCTGAAAACAGCAGAATGTGGTTTTAAGGTACTGTAATTAAGGGTAGACTGGGATGCCTTCTCCTCTGCTTCCTAACCACCCCCTGCCCTCAGCGCACCAGCAGTCAGGCAGCTAGCTGCTTTCAGTAGGCTCACGTTTACCCCAGGTTTCCCTGCCTGGGTGCTGGGCTTCAGTGACCAGCCACTATGAGCTGAGAGCCTGTATCAGCCCTGTGGTAAGTGGCTTTTGACTGGGAATCCAGCAGACAGCCCTGGCGAAATAAAGCATTAGTAAACAAGCATTTCATCTTGTGAGGACATGCCAGACCTATCTGCACTCATTGAAAGAGGGCAGATTTGTGAAACTCTGAAATACAGCTTCAGAGACAAGAACTTCTCTTTTATGTGAAATGTTAAAAACAAACAAAACCAAAACAGAAAAACAAAACAAAACAACAACAAAAAACAGAACCAACCAACCAAAACAAACCCAAAAACAACCTGCACCACAACAAAAGATACACCCACAAACCCCACCCTGAATCCAGCACAAACTTAGGACAGACTTCCCTCTCTGTCTTCAGAGGACAGGGTCACTCACCTCTGATTGAGGAGCGAGACCCAGCTCCCAGCTGAGCTGAGGCCATGCTGACATCCCCTAAAGCAGCGAGGTGCACAGTGGAAGTGGCAGGGTGTGTTTCCCAAGCAGACCTACTGGTATCACTGTTGTTGGCGCACGAGGTCAGATGAGTTTTGCAACAAAGGCATAGCAACCCCCTGGAGCAACACAAACTGTGTGAAGTTAAACTGGTTAAACGATGCTGCCAGTTCCTGCAGATGATGAGCTGCCTTTTCTTCCTCAGCCACTCTTAAGCTCAGGTGCAGCAACAAGAGCAAGGTCTCGGGTACTTGCAGTAGAGAAGTGCAGGAAAATGCACCCAGTGCAACATCAGCTAGCACCTTGTTAAAAGAGCAAGTACAGAAAAATCTGGGGTGAGGAGGGGGAAAGTTTCAAAGAAATTTGGAATGAAAAATAAGTTCATCCCTTCAGCTCTGAACTCTAGTCAATGCTATATCCAGTCAGACATGTCATGCAGGTACAGGGAGAAAGCAGGACCACTCCATGTAACAGTAAACCTTCTGTCCTTTGGAGAATCCCAAAATGGAAGGTTCCTAAACAAAATCAGTGTGCGTTTCTGTGTTCATTGCCGATTCATTGCTGAAAGATCTGAAATCAATTAGTGAAAATACCTTGACTGGCTTCAGAAGAGGGGGCTGCAAATTGGGTAGTTTTGCCTTTGGAAGCCACAGGGTCCAGGGAAAATCCAGAGACTTGCACGCACAAGGGGCCACTGAAGTGCAGCTTCTCTCTTGGTGTAAGTGGGGCTTTGGCAATTTACACCAACAATCTGTCCGTCATATGAAACCACGTGGCTCATAGGAACCACAGGAATCAGTAGGATTTTATGCGTGTAAGGCTCATTGACGTCAGTGCGAGTTGGACGGCCTAGCCCTGGAGTCTAGTATAATCAGCCAAATGAGGATCAAAGGCACAAAACACATGCAGAGCACTACAGCACAAATATCTGAAAAGGGACCAGAAACATTTGAGTTTCATCTGTCAACATCTTCCTGAAGCACTAGCTATGTTTCCATCTTGCCTTGCACCACCAGACCCTGCTGCCTCCAGACCCAAAGCTCCCATTGAGAGAAGACAAGCGACTCAGTTGTCCATGTAAAGGCTGGACATCAGACACAGTTTACCCCATCCTTAGGAAGGCTCTTAAAATTACCCACCAACATCAACTAACAGCAGTATTCCTTATTCATGTCAGTCTTGGAATCCTTGCCACAGTGGAAGAACGTTACGTTTGCCATGTTAGCCCAAAGGTGGAGCTGAGCTACAGGGAGGCTAAAGCGGGATGCAGAACCTTGGTTCTTCTTTCTCAGCCTGTCATCAGTGGGCACAAAGGATCTAATAGAGGAAGATGCTGTCTAGCACTGCTAAAACCTGCATCTCACACCTCCACCGTGTTTTTCAGTACAGAGGGTGCTGTATGTAAGGCTACACATTTCTCAGATTAATGTAAAGTCACTTGTCCCGCTGCACAACAGATTCCAATATTTTGTTCTTTCATAGTAGCGATGAGGCCAATTATAGCTCAGCTGTAATGGAAAGGTACAATACAATTGCTCCTACTTCTCAGTCAAATTTCCCAGAACCTGTCTCTCTCTCTCTGTCTCTCTGTCACAATTTAACTTTTAAATTGAGATTGTGTTTTTTAAACGAAAAAAAAAAAAATCTAGAATCTTACTGAAATGGAACACGAGCTTTCTTTCAGCTAAGTTTCACGTGCCAAACTGTATTGGCTGTATGCTAAGCGCTAGAAAGAACTGGTAACAAAATTGTTGTATATTAACATATACCTCCCCCCCCCCCCCAAAAAAAAAAAAAAAAATCACCAAAAAAAACCCCAAAGAACTCTAAATCTCCTAATTACTGTGTGCAGTTCCCAGATCACCCATCAAGGAAAATATCTAGATTTATGCCTGTAGTTCCTTAGCAAGAATGACAAATGCCCTGAAACTTTGACTTTTTTAGCTACACTCCTGTCTCGCCTGCATTCTGCAGTGACTGGAGAAGCACTGAAACTGGAACATCACCAAAGGCACTGAAACAAAAACTGAGCAATTGAGACAGCCTTTCTCAGCTGGGCGCAAGGTGCTGCAGGACTGGAGCGGAGCCTGTGAGGCAGATGACAGCACTTAGGACCACCACAGAGGTAAGTCCGCGCTCCGTAGAGGCACCTGGGCAGTGCTGTAACTGACTCAAACCTACAGATATTGTAATCTGCAGTTAAAAATGCAAGGCGGAAATTTGTTTAGCCTTTTAGTGTATGCTTTGGCTTGTTGCTTCGGAGGAGGAGTGTGCTTTTGTGGCATCTCGTACATGGCTGTGTCTTACTGCTGCTTGGGCTGTTATTCCTGCATGCCTCTGGAAAGGGGCCTTGCACACTACAGATCATACGGGAGAGTTGTTTTCCTAAAAGCGGGAATAAACAGTCAGGAGATGAAATATTCCTAAGTAATGAGATTAGAGACAAGAACGTAACATGGGATGCGGCTTTCAACAATAATTACATCTGACACCCTCATCAGCAAGAAGATGTAGGGGCTGCGAGCTCTGAGCTTGGGAACAGCATATGAAAGACTGGCTTCTCTTGGGAAGGGAGGCACAGGGGAGGTTATTTTTAGCACTCGGGGAAAAAAAAAAGCAAGAAAAAAAAGCAAGAATTTAAGCACTCTTTGGTTTGATCCCGTTCTTATGGAAGAGGTCGTACAGAAAGAGGTGGTGTGCAAGGAAAATAAGAAACGGGAGCAGAAACGGTGCTGACGACGGGGCAGCGGCTGCGCTCAACGCCATGGGCTGACTCAGGACAGAGATGAGAAGGAGCGAGGTCCGAGCGGGAGGGGAGCTGCGCGCAGGAGAGCCGCGCCGGGAAGCTGCGGGCAGAGCGGGCAGAAACTCCTGTCCGCGCCCGGCAGCCGCAGGGCCGAAGGGTCGGCAGCGGCGGGGCAGGTGCGGTGCGCTCCGCCGTCGGGGCCGCGCTGCAGTTGGCTCCTGTTCCACGGCGCGGCGCTGAGCCGGGCGCCGGCGGGGCAGGGGGCTCCGGGAGGAGCTCGGCGCCCTCGCCGCCCCCGGCCCGCTCCGGCCCCACCGAGGAGCTCTCGTCGGCCGCCGCGCGGCTCCGCGTTCGCGGAGGTATTTATAGATCAGACACTTTCCAAAAAAGCAGCGCCGCGCCCGCATTGCTCGGCAGCTCTTTCCATCCGTAATTGAGAGAGAAAAAAAAAAAAGAAACAAGCTAGCGAAAAGGAGAAGCGGGGCTTTGCGAGCGCGACGCTCTCTCGACCCGGCGCTCCGCGGTCACAGGCTGCTAAGAAAGTGAGCGGGGTCCGGCGGGGCCGCCCCGGGACCTCCTCTGCTTTCCGAGCTTTAATTTTTCCGGAACGAGCCCTAAAAAGGGCAGCGGGGCGGGGCCGGATCTTCGCCTTTTTAGGACAAGGGCCCCGCCACCGGAATACCCCCTCGGCGGCGGCGGGCGGAGGGGCGCTGCCGGCGCGGCGGCGGCCCCCGGGGGGCCGCGCGGGGCCGGGGCCGCCTCCGCGGGGCGCGGGGCGCGGGGGGCCGGGGCGGGCGCGGGGCGGCGGGGCCGCACGCGGGCGCCCACGTGACCGCCGGGCCCCGTTCCTCAGTCCTTATATGGGCAGTGACGTCCCGGGCATTCAGGGGGCCCCCATAAATAGTTACCGCCAGACTTGTCCTCCAGCGCGAGCTGCGGCGGGAGCGCGGCTCTCCCGGGGCACCGCCGCGACGGGGCGGCCGCCCGCCCGCACATGCCCGCTCCGCGCCGGCTCCCCGCGATCCCCCCGCGTCGGTAGCGGGAGGCAGGGGAGCGCCCCGTCCCCGCCCCGAGCGCCCGCCGCCGGCCGGGAGCGCGGCTCCCCGGGCCGCCCGCCGCCCCCATGATGACCGCCAAGGCGGCGGACAAGATCCCGGTGCCCCTCGGCGGGTTCCCGCACCAGCTGACCGAGGGCATCTACCCCGCGGACGACATCTCCGCCGCGCTGCCGACTTCGGTCGCGATCTTCCCCAATGCCGACCCCGCGGGGCCGTTCGATCAGATGAGCGGCGTGGCCGCAGGTAAGCGGAGCCGCGCTGTCGCGCAGGTGCGGGCGGTGAGGCCGGGGCGGCTGGCGGTTGCGGGGGCGAGCGGGGGCGGCTGTCCCCCGGGGCTCGCCCGGCTGGGGTCCCTCGGGGCGCCGCTCGGGGGAGAGGCCGGGGCGCGACACGTGCGCGCCGCGGCCCCGCGCCCCCCGAGCGGCCGCCGGGGCAGGGGAGGCTCGCGGTGCTGACCGGCGCCTCGCCTCGCCCCCAGACGGCATGCTCGGCGTGGACATGGGCGACAAGCGGGCCCTGGAGCTCCCCTACGGCGGCGGTTTCGCGCCCGGCGCCCCGACCTCCCGCAACCAGACCTTCACCTACATGGGCAAGTTCTCCATCGACCCGCAGTACCCCGGCGCCGGCTGCTACCCCGAGGGCATCATCAACATCGTGAGCGCGGGCATCCTGCAGGGGGTCAGCGCGCCCGCCTCCGCCGCCTCCGCCGCCTCCTCCGCCGCCTCCTCCGCCTCCTCCTCGGCCACCGCCGCCTCCGCCGCCTCCCCCGGCGCGCTGCCCGGGGCGCTGGGCTGCGGCATGGCGCAGGGCCCGCCGGCTGAGCTGGAGCACCTCTACTCGCCTCCGCCGCCGCCCTACTCGGGCTGCGGGGAGCTGTACCCGCAGGACCCCTCCTCGGCCTTCCTGCCCGCCGCCGGCGGCGGGGCGCTGCCCTTCCCCCCGCCGCCCTCCTACCCCTCCCCGAAGGCGGCGGCTGCCGACGGCGGGCTCTTCACCGTCATCCCCGAGTACGGCGGCTTCTTCCCGCCGCCCCAGTGCCAGCGGGAGCTGCACGCCGGCCCCGACCGCAAGCCCTTCCCCTGCCCCCTCGACTCGCTCCGCGTCCCGCCGCCGCTCACGCCGCTCTCCACCATCCGCAACTTCACCATGGGGGCGGCCCCGGCGGGAGCCGCTCCCGGCTCTGCCCCCGGAGGCGGCGGCGGCGGCGGCAGCGGCGCTGGGGAGGGCGCGCGGCTGCCCGCGGGCGCCTACAGCCCGCACCACCTGCCGCTGCGGCCCATCCTGCGGCCCCGCAAGTACCCCAACCGGCCCAGCAAGACGCCGGTGCACGAGCGGCCCTACCCCTGCCCCGCCGAGGGCTGCGACCGCCGCTTCTCGCGCTCCGACGAGCTCACCCGGCACATCCGCATCCACACGGGCCACAAGCCCTTCCAGTGCCGCATCTGCATGCGCAACTTCAGCCGCAGCGACCACCTCACCACCCACATCCGCACGCACACCGGCGAGAAGCCCTTCGCCTGCGACTTCTGCGGGAGGAAGTTCGCCCGCTCCGACGAGAGGAAGCGGCACACCAAGATCCACCTGCGCCAGAAGGAGCGCAAGGGCGCGGGGACCGCCGCCGCCCCGCAGCCCGGAGCCGGCGGCAGCGGGGCCGCCCTGGGCCCCTGCGCGGCGCGGACGCGGACGCCCTGAGTCGGGCGCGGGGCGCGGGGGCGGCGCGGAACCCCGGGGGCGCAAGGTGCCGGGCCGGGCGGGGCCGACGGCTGTACATAGGGGCTGCGGCGGGAGGACGGATGCATGCGGTGCCGTCGTGGTGAGGTGTCCTTGGTGCCTTGTGTGGTGTGAGCCCGTACCCGGCTGCATGTGGGGGGTGCCTTACCGATCCGCTCCGACGACAGCGGCGACGCCGAGACCGGAAAGTTTGCCTTCCCTCCCTGGTTGTAGTATGGCTGTACATTTCTGCCTATTAATATTGGGATTTTTTTTTTTTTTTTTAGAGACTATATTTTTGTACGCACTGGTTGGGGTTGTTGTTATTTTTTTTTGTCTTTTCGGTGACCGAAGAGTGTTGCGTCTGCGGGGGGGGAGGGAAGGGCCCGGGCGGGACGAGCGCACCCGGCGGGCCCGGCCCGATCTGCGCCGCGGGGCGCGGGCGGCGGCACGGCCGTGTGCGGCCGCGGGCGGCAGCTGCGGGACGGGGCTCCCTCCCGCCACTCTGTACATAGCCCTCCGACGGCAGGGTCGGCGCTCACGGCGTTTATAAGCGACGACGAATAAATCTCTTAATTATGCCACGCTGACACCGTTATTTCCGTTGGTGCCTGCCGGGGGAGGGGGGCTCCCCACCGGCCCCGGCCCCGCCGTGCCGAGCCGCGCTGCCGGCCGCGGGGATTCCCGTCGGAGGCGTGAGCCGCGCCGGCGGCGGTGGGAGCGGGCGGGCGGTGTGACTCAACGCGGTGTTCCGCGGCCCGGGGCGGCTGCCCCGAGTGGGCTCCGGCACAGCTAGTCCGGGGCTGCACGGGCCGCCCCCCGCCCGAACCGGGCTTTCCCCTGCACATCGGCCTGGCCGCGACACCGCTTTTTTTTCCTTTTTTTTTTCTTTTTCTTTTTTTCTTTCCTTCCTCTTCTTTCTTTTCTTTTCTTGTTTTCTTTCTTTTTTTAACGTTCTATAAGTTATTTTTGAGGATGCTGACCCAGCATGGTGGTGCGTGGTTGTGCTGTGGAGCCCGGGACAGCTGCAAGCAGCCCAGCGCTGCGATGAGCCCTGGCACAGCCCTGGCACGGCTGTTCCGACTGAAGCCACCGGCAGCCCGCTGCCTTCCTTCTGCACTGAAACTTCCTGCTGTCTTCCCTGCTGCCAGGGTGCTGGCTCTCAGAGCAGCTGCTCTTTGGAGCTGGAAATGAAACAGGTCTCCAAAACTGGGCACAAAGAAGCTGAGGAGCTTTACAGCACCCTGCCACCTTCCCCACACAGCTCTCATAAGCTTTAGCCTCCCCTCATCTCAGCATGGGCAGCTTTGCCACCTAGTCCCACATGTTCCCAGGCTCCCGAAGGGACACCAGCAGCCGCTGCCTGCTGGTGGAGGGGCGACACATGGGCAAGTCTCAGACGTGGAGCACAGTCTCACAGAGTCGTTGGTGTCCTCGGTCACCAACGCTGGGCTACAGCGCAGGAAGGCAGACGGGCAACACTGGGCTTCCCGAGGCGCTACTACAGCTTTGGATAACCATGGCTTGGTCACAGCCAGAGCATCGTGGGCCAGCTCAGGTTCTCAGCTACCCAAGTGCACGATCCAAGGCTCTGCCCGTGGCCTCTAAACTACTGAGAGCAGCCCTGCCGCAAGATTGAGATGCCAGCAAAGAGCAGAAGTCAACACAAATTGTAAGTGAGCTGGATTAAGGACACAAGTATCTAGCGTAGAGCTGTGAGAAACTTTACACTGTGTAATAGTATCAGCACTCTTAAACCTGTGCCTTTGCTTTACAGTAACAACTAGCTTCACAAGCTGCAGTACCACATGTGCTGGATATGTCTGAAGGGCCAAATGCACCACTTGGGCTGCCAGGCAAAAGAAACTTGCGTTACCGCTCTTGTTCAAAGCTGTCACACTTGCAGAGAAAAGTAACGACTGGTCGGTGGTGAGATATCCTGTATTTATTCTGTAACTCAGCAATAACAGTGATTTTCCTGTTGTGAAAACGCAATAAACAGACTGCAGAGAGAAGGAACTATATTAGACTCAAACCTTCTGCTTACAGATATCCAGAACACGTGCAGTTAAGTTTCAGTCATTGAATAAGCAAGAAGAGGCTTTTCTTTAATGCATCTCAGATTCTCTTTTTCCTGACACAGTGACTTTAATACTTTGATGCTAACGCCGTTATTTAAAAAAACAAAAAAGTTTTGCCACAATTGTTAACAGCACTCTACAGGGTAAGGGACCACACTGTCCTCTGTGGAAAAGGTGCATTAAAATCCTATCCCATTACATGTCTTGACTAGGTCTTAAGCATGGAGAAAAAATAAAAAGCAACAAGAGAGACCTAAGGGGAGGATAGAGAGATGAGATACAGAACCGAAATGCTCTTTGTTGCAGTTTGTTTTTCCAGTACCGCTGTTTGCATGCAGCACGCTGTTTGTGGGCTTCTGGAAAAGGATGACAGTCTTCATTAGTGCCGGAGCGAGTGAGAAACACAGGCTGTGCCATTCCGAGGCACTGCATTACAGTTAATGACTACGCTTGATAGAGAATTGTTGCACATTAACTAATGCTAAGCTGCAGGGGAATTCCAGGAAAAACAGGTAAGCCCACTGCAGAAACATCAGACACTCCACAGTGCTGTAAGAATAAATGGAAATTGAGCAAAATAATTTCCACCAATTTTTCCTTGCAAAAGCATTAATATGTGTATGCATAATGCTGATGGTGTTTTACATTCATTCTTCCACAGCCCTTCCTCCCCAATTAAAAAAGTGATGCTGTATCAGAATCACTTAAAAATTCACCCGTCCAAGCAACCGTACAGGAAAAACAAGTCTGCTTTTATAAATACACAAAGAAACACAAAGGCTGGTTGTGGGACAGTTTCTGGAGCAGGCTGGTAACATCCCTTAGGAAGTGGGTTTGTGTTCAAATTCCCACACAGTGACCCAGGCTGGAGCCCGTGGCATGGCGTGCTCTGCCATCAGAGGCACCGGGCCACTCCCTGCAGCACAAACAGGTACATCACCTCTAGAAAAGTTTCTCCCGTTAGAAAGATCGCATCCCCTGCTGAGGGCATGCTGTATCTCAAGGCTGCTTACAGCACAGCAAGGCAAAATGCACTGCGTCTCTTCTACACTATGTTTATTTAAAAGCCTTACAAAAAAGTAATCTTTATAAATAGTATAAAGAGGGAAACCACAAGGCTTCCAAAGCTCAGTGTTCACCTGTCCATATAAAAACACAGACCACTTTTAGAGAAGAGTTATCAGGTCAAATCCTATCTGAACCTAGGGTGTGTGTACAGATGGATATACATATCTATAGGTTACAGGCAAGTGAGTAGTGTTGTACAGCAGCATCCATAGGACAGCAGCGGTCTTCTCTAAAGATGCCCACAGTTTCCACTCCCCTCGGCCACTGCTATATGAGAACTCCCAAGCACAGTTAATTAGCAGCTGTGAGTCTCCTCCCGGCTGAGGGAACATGCATAGGAATGCTCTATAACTTCAGTTCTCATAGCCGGATCTTATACGGAACGCAGTGAAGAACTGTTAAATGGTAATTCGGGACCCGACACCGTCCCTCAGGAGGGGAACTCATTTCACTCCCACCCCACGCACACCACCGTGTATCCATGGAGCGCTGCCCGCCCCAAGAGTTGCCCCGGGGGTGGGATTTTGCCAGTTCGGTACATCTCTTAGCGGAGCCCGGCCCGGAGCCGCCGGGAAGGCGGTGCGGCGCTCCCAGCAGCGAGGGGGTGGGGGTGACGGCTCCGGGAGGGTTCTTATTGCATTCGCTCTGCTGGAGCCCGACCCCCCCCTTTGACCGAAGCTCGGCGACGCACTCAGAGCGCTGGGTTTTCTTCCGAACGCTCAGTCGAGTAGAACCGGACCGCGCCACTCCTCCTTCATCGCACGTCAGCCACAAGAAATAAATACATCGTCACTTTATTGTCCCGAGCGGCCCTCGGCGCGCGGCCCTGCGAGCAGCCCGTGCCGGCGGCCTTTCCCCCGGCGGGAGCGGCGCGATCCGAGCGGAGGGCCGAACCGCGGCCCGGGGCGCCGTCCTCGAGCGGTCGGACGGGACGAGCCGGGCGGGGCTCCCCGCGCCGACGCCCGCCTCCCCTCGCAGCCGGGCGCTCCGCAGCGTTCCGTCCGGTCCCGAGGGCCGACGCGCGGCGGGCGCCGCCTCAGGGGCAGACGCGGGGCCCCGGGTAGGGCTCTCCCCCGCACCAGAAGTCGGCGGCCGGCGCGGTCTCCAGCAGCCACACCTCCCTGGGCAGCGCGGGCTCGGCGCCGGCCGGCGGCCCCTCCAGCAGGCGGTAGTAGTGGCAGTCCCGGCCGTGCTCGGGGTCGTAGGGCGGCGCCAGGATGTCGAGGAAGGCGGCGGGGCCGTCCACGGCGTCGATCTGGTGCAGGTTGTCGCTGTGCGGCGAGAGCAGGCAGGGCGGCGAGGCGGGCGTGTAGTGTTGCCGGGAGCGCAGCAGGGCGCGCAGGCACGGCCCCGGGGCGGGCGGCGGCGGCGGGGCGGCGGCGGCGGGCAGCGCGTCCATGCAGGCGATGCGCAGAGTGCCGTACAGCACCTTCAGCATGCCGTTCATCCCCGGGTGGTCGTGCAGCGGGATGCAGGCGCCGCCGCGCAGCAGGAACACGCCCATGCTGAAGCTCTCGGTCTCGCAGATGTGCATATAGCTGACGGGCGGCACGGCGCCGGCCCGCGGGCACCCCGCCGCCGCCGGAGCCGGCCCCTGCGGCGCCAAGTGTAGGTCCTCGGCGCGCACCTCGTCCAGCAGCTGCTGCAGCCGGTGCAGGTTCTCCCCGAAGGCCGGCCCCGCGGGGCTGCGGAAGGTGATGCGCGCCTGCCGCGCCACCCGCTGGATCAGGGAGGCCATGTTGTCCCGGGGCATGGCGGCTCCCGGCCCGCTCCGGCCCGGCCCCGCGCGCCCGCCCGCGCCAGGCGCTCCCGTCGCTTCCTCCCGCCGCTTCCTCCCGCGGCCGCCCCGACGCGCAGGCGCGCCCGCGCCGCCGTGCACCACGGGGCCCGTAGTCCTCCGCCCGCGGTCCGCCGCCCTTCGCTTCCGCCGCTCCCGCGCCGCACGGCGCTCCCGCCCGCCGCCCGTCGGACGGCTCGGGGGTGGTCCCGGCACGGCGGCGGCGAGGGCACGGGGCGGCGGGCGGCGGATCTGGGAGGAGGACTACGGCTCCCGGCGGCGCCGGCGCGAGGGGGCGGCTCCGCCCGAGGCCGCGCTCCGCCGGCGGCGCGCGAGGGGCCGCGGGGTCGGGAGGCGGTGTGAGGGGCGGCCGCCATCTTGGGGCCGGGGTGCGCGGGGCGCTGAGGGGCGGCCCCGATCTCTGCGGGAGCTCCGTGCGCCGCGGCTCCCGGCAGCGCGAAGGCGGCCAGTCGGAGCGGTTTCAAACTTAGAAAACCGCGCTCTGATCGCTGGAGCGAACAGACTCTTGCCACCTCGAGTCCGGTTCTTTGAGCGGGCGTCAGGTGCCCGGCTGCTGCTGTGCCGGGGCACAGCCCGTAACGGTTCTGACGGGCAGCTGGGTAGGGCTCCGGGGGCTGCAGCCACCGAGCTCGGTAACTTCATTTAAAAGCGATACAAACAGGTGCGTTTTCCCGATTACAGACAAGCTGCGTTCTTCAGATGTGATTGCACTTAAGAAAGATGCATGTGGCCTTGCGGTATTACACACCGCATTCATACGTGTGAATCAGAAGTGCAGATATGGCAGGCTGGAATGCTGGCACTGCTGACAAGGATTAGTGATTTGGAACCCTCTTCCCAAACCTATTTCCCACTTTTTATGCATAAGCGATGCACAGAACACAAACTTAGATTGCAGTGCAATTGATTCTCCTCACGGTGCTCAGTCGAGTTGCCTGTTTTGAGTTCCATCCGAATCCATTGGCAGTGTGGTCTCAGCCTGTTCTGACACTTCAAAACTTCAAGGTACTTCAGAAGCATTTCTCTCTGCAGTGCCAGTGTTTCTGCACCTGGCAGGACACCTGGGACAAGGGCGCAGAGATCCGTGCTTTGGGGTGAGCAGCAGTCAGCCTTTAGTAGCCCATGGCCCTGCGTGTTGGAGGGAACTACTGGGGATGGTCACAGCCTCCCCACTGCTGTGCTGGCTGAGACGTAGGCTACTGACAGACACCCAGAGGTTTGCCAAGTCTCAGTATTTAGTCTGCTTTTCTGTTCAGCCCCCTGTGCGGGGTCTGTCAGTTTAATCATGGAGGTATGGGCTGGAATTTTGGGCAGTTATTGTTATTGGTGATAATCGTTTATCATCTCAGCATTGGCTTAGGCATCTATTTGTGTTCTCACTCAGCAATTACGTTTTTTGCTTGGAAGCGATTGCTAAAATGGTTACTTTCCAACACTCATTCTTTTCCTGTGCAGCACAAAAATAAACTGTTTTGTGGAAGCAGAAATGCTTGGTAGTGGTAGGACTTTGTGCGCTTGCCTAACATGCTGTTGCAAGGACAGCTAGTGTGGAGAACCAGGAGCTGGAGCTCTGCATCTCTGCTTGATCTTGACTTGCTGGGTGATATGAGGTGAGTTACTGGACCCTTTGTGCTTATCACTCTGTAAACCATGAATCACCTCTGTGCAAGGATGTTTATTAAGATTTTAAAAGATCTTAGGAATATCTTCACGCAAACGTTCCTGGTGCCATGTTACGTTGGTGACAAGCTTTATGTTTTGCATAACCTACAATCCGCAATGTTTTTAACTGCTGCATTGGTTTGATGTGGACAAAAATATGTCTTTGGCACTTAACGTTCCAGCTAAATGTTACATCACACCCACATTTTTCAGTTCAGTGATATACAAGAAAAAAAAAACAACATGCAAAACAACCAACGCAGAATAGCAAGTTGTCCAGCCGACTGGCAAATGTACTGATATTATTATTATTCAGAAGATAATGTTCTTAGCTAACATCTACCATCTTGAATGCATGGGAAGGAAAAAACCAACCACAGTATAGTTGCTTGGCTGGGCTTTGAGACTACGTTGTATCGGTGATGCAATGACCAAAGTTCAGTGTAGTGGTTTTATGATAAAACCAGCCAGAGTGAGGTCAGGCTCAGGTTACAGTTTTGGCCTCCTGCTGTGTTTGTTGGTTTTTTCCTCACATGGAGAATGTATTCAGAACTGTTACATCTACTTTCTTTCCACCCCCACTCCACCACTTCTAAGCTTCTGTCCCTGCTACCTCAATTCTCCTGTGAAACCAACAGTTTTTTAGCTTTTTGCTTCTCAGTTACTGTTATGTATTATAATTTTCCCCCTAATTTGTGAAGTATCCCCTACTCATTTTCACTTTCTTCTAGGAGCTGCTTCCCAGGTCCTCTTGATTTTGTTTGAGAAGTTAGAATTACCTGCAATCGCTGGTAAACCAAGAGTCTCGAACGGAGAATAATGACAAGCACCTACCTAGAAGGTCAGTGGTTGGCTGTTAGCATGTTCTGTCATGGTGCTGGAATATTGCACGAGGTGTAGAACTCGGTGAGGCAGTACAGAAACCATCCTCTGTCATAATGCTGCCAGTTACTGCAGAGGTGTATTCACAGGACAAAAAATAAGACTGTGTCTAAGAAATTTTTGCACTGTTCGTGCCACTTGTTATGCAAGGGTTTAATTGTTTGTTTGTTTTATAAAGCTACCACCAATCAGAGAGAGAAATACAAATATCAGGCAGATATGATTATGATGAGAACAAGACTGGAAAGAGGGAAGGCAAACATGTCTGTAATATTTGCTGTTTCTCCAGTAATAATGGCTTACGTAAAAGAAAGTTAGTTATCAGTTATTCATCAGAGAATTTGTAAATCAGTAGAAGCACAAAGGAGTGCTCGATGTAACTGTACTGAAATCAGGAGGGGAATTAGGTTCATGTAGACACCAAACTTTAAACACATCTATGTAACATTAGAATCTCACTCACTTTTACCACTTCTTTACTGACACCTATCCTGTATTTCATTTATTCTATTAAACACGCAGTTCACACCTTGCTGTAATGCTTCTTTTGTTGTAGCCTGTCAGTTAAATATGCTATTCCTGTATAAAATACATCGTTAATGGATTTTATTGACAAGTTGCTACCGAACGTCTTGGAGCTGTTGGAGTGACTCAGAGTAGGAAAGGCTGTGCGGCATGCTACTCCTTGTGTATGAATCTGAGCAGAGCTCCTCTGATTTCATGGTTTCTGCTGGTGCCAGTCAGATCCGTGCTGATGCCCCTGGTTGCATCTAGCTTAGATTGTGATGACTGAAAGTATGAAGTTGTGTCCTCATTTCTTCTGAACTCTCTGACTGTCTAGGACCAATCCTGCCTAGGAAGAAGGAGACGCTTACAGGTGTGGTTAGAAATTGCTTTCCCTTCATGTGCTCCCTTGCTGATGTATCATTTGCAGGAAGATATCTCTGCCCAGAGCTACTTGTGTAGTGGCACTCTGCCCTTCTGCAGCAGTGGAGCTGCAGGGTACTTCCACCAGCTGTGTGCACTCCTGGCAATTCAAAGAGACAAGGGAAGAGGGAGAGATCTGCTAGTGGCTGTGGGGAGTTATCTCTGTTTGTCACATATATTTAGTGTTTTCAGAAGATTATCTGGCTGCATAACTTGGGACAAATCTGACCTATAAGTCTAAAATTTAGAATAAGTGCAAAGAATTTTGTTGAGGTGTCCATAACACTGAGTGTGCAGATACAGGCAGGAAGGTAGAAGATTCCTTTGATGGTTATTTGGATTAAAGAAGCCCACAGCTCAATTTGCAAGTGTAATTCTGAGTCCAGAACTGTCATTCTTATAGTGGGCATAACTTTCAAAACAAAGTATCAACAGAAGATGCACGGGTACTGTTTTCAGAATGTAATTAGAAGCAAATGGGAGTTGTTAATTATATTGGTTAAACTTTAAATGTACAGAATGCTGTGATTTGGACTATCGCTTTTCATCTTTCAACTGACAGAAACAGGCAGAAGAGACAGTTAAAAATGTTGCATTACTTAAAGCAACTTGTGATTTCTTCATTGCATATCTTTATATATGAATTGTATTAAAATAATTTCAGTATTATTTTTACACAAACGCATCCCAAAGCAGCAAAGTGCTTGAGTTATGTATCATCTTACTGATACAATTTACTGTTAATTTAAATGCTGTTCAAAACCTGTTGGGAAAGTTGAAATCTGCTTCCTGTGGTATTTGATACAGAACGAAAGCCATACTTGGCTGTGGTCCTGATGCTTTCCTAGCCCGTGGGGCTTATCTCCCGTGTGGAAGGTCCTGCTTTCGAGCCGGGGCCGTGCAGCATGGGTGAAACGCTGCAGCAAAGTGGAGCGTCGGCACCCGCTGTGTTGTGGCAGATGGGGCACAGCGTGACACCCGCCTGCTGCAGCAGGGCCCCCTCTGCCGTTTTTGAGACCACATCCCTGTCCGCTCAGTTCTTTCTACTGGCTGCCAGATCCTTGAGGCCCCCCCAGCCGCTGTTACATCAGTACTCCACTTAGTTTTTTTCTCTCCCTGTGACTTTTTAGGAGAATCCCAAGGGTCCTGTTTCGGTTACACAGTGAAAGAGCGGAGGGTGGGAGAGAGCTTGCAAGGTCATCTCTGTTTGGAAGAAGTTCTCTTGGCCTTTAGCCCTCCCCTCAGCAGCTGACTTTCAAATGGTAAGAGAAGGCTGTGTTCATGTGACCCAGGGGAAAGGCCCACTCTGCGTGCAGAGACTGCAGAGGCCTCGTCATCTGGCAGTGGTGGGGAAAGTTACTTTGCAAGGAAAGCCTTGTGTTTCAGTGCATGTCTGTTCCTCCCAGTATCACTACAGCACCATGTTTACTTTTGCCTGCGTTAAGATAATATGCATTATTTGAATGCTTTAGTATTAGTGTAGGGTGTGATTCTGTGCTGTTTTAGCCTATGAGCTGGAAGTAGATAATTTACCAGCTCTGGGGTCCCAGAGGGTGTTAAGTGTGGGTCTGCCACTGCTTGTGCTACACACTGCTTGTGCTTGTGAGATTGTGGTCACAAGTCAACTTTCCCCAGGGTTACTATCAAGGCCTTAAGTAATCCTACATCTGTAGCTTACAGAGTTACTGCTCTGCAGCTGAGTCCCTGTAACCTGCTTGGTGCTCACCCACAGCCTTCCCTCCCCACCACAAAGCTTAAGCATAGACTATCTTTAAGCTAAGCCCTTCTGTTTCACAATCATCAGTGAGGACTGTACGGTCGTCATGCAGGTGATAAGCAGTAACGTATGAAGCCGCAGTAACTTGATTGCCCTTGGGTGTACATCTGGGCTGTAACACATTGTTTTAAAAGTCTCTTTTCAGAGAGAGATCTTCTGTTGTTTCTCATTAAATTTTGAGATCAAATCTGTCCATGTGAAGATCTCTACAGCGTTAATCAATAGTGCTAAATTTAAGAAGGAAAGAAAAAGTTGTATTTGAGGAATAGCCAGGGAATATTTTTTCTGTTTTAAATAACTAATAGATATTGCTTCATGAAAGGCTTTAGTGGAAGGAAAAGAGGTGAGTGGTAAAGGTTAGTGGGCAAATATTTAGCGGGGTGGGGAAATTTCTTTCAATATTTTCAGATGTTTGTAGCATTTAGGTTAATCAGTCAGTTTTCCAGTGAAATCTGTCTTTGTCCTGTAGATAAAGAGTTCGTATTTAACTCCTCGAGACCTTGGGATGGAGGCAGGAAGTTCTGTGCGAGTGTTTGAATAAAGGAGAGGAGGACTGAGGCAGGCAGAGGCAAAAGGCCGGGCCCCACGGGGCTCTTAAAGCCACCCACACAGCTGCACTGATCTCTCTTGGACTTGTGGTCCTCAGCCAGGACTTGACTACTCGGAAGACAAAGTACTGCTTGGAGCACGTATGTGCCCATATGCTCTTCTGCAGTTGCAGTAATACACCTGTCAGTAACACACCGCTGCTGCGCTGTGCTACCCTGCACACATTTGTATCTATCTTGTATGACTGAGGAAAAAACAAATGTTGACAGTGTATAAAGGGAAATTAGTTCAGATATTTAGTATCTAGATTTTACTTTAGTATTTCACAGCATGCCTGCAAGTGTGTGTCAGATTTTTCCTAGGAAATTAGGATGCCTTCCAGCAGAAACTGATACATAGACTCAGCTTTTCCTGAGAAATAGCTTCCACTATTTCCCAAAACTAAGGATTTGGAGTTTGCAGGATCGGGGCCTAACAACTTCACATCTTTCTTACTATTCTTTTTTCTCCTTCTTTCTTCTCCAGGAAAACAATACTCTGTCATGTCTCCATGTTAAAATGACTAGAAATTGAACGTAGGGGGAGTTAGCATGTGATTACTTTTTTTAGACAGGATTTTCTTCACAGCTGAATTAGAGTGAGTCCTTTTTCTCCCAAACCAGATGGTAGGTGATTCAGTACTTCTAGCAGTAGAAAAATGATTTGTTTTCATTCCCCAGTAGCTGGTGTGAATGTACTTTTCTTTATCTATTTACAGATTATGTAAACACATTTTACCAGCATTTAGGTATGTACTTTACAGGCCCACTCCTGCAAAGAGTGCTGCATATGCAATGCCCATCTTAGGAGGGGCTGCCATTGCTTACAGAGAGCTGTTTGCATGAAAATTGAGGCATTGTGGTATCTGTATTTGGTTTTTTATGTGTACACTAAAATTTATGATGCTTTATGAAGATACAAACAGAACCATAAGTCCACAGAATAGTTGAGTGAGTTTGTGCACTTCTTTCACCTATCAAAATCTATGAGGATGCCCTTGATCTCTTTTGCTGTCTTTCTGCAATAGGCTATATTTCTTGGGGCTTCTGAGTTAAAGCTGAAAGCTTTAGCCCTATAGTAGAGCGTTAGGGTGAGTCCTTCCTGGTGCACAGGGGGAGTAAGGGCCTCATTCATGTGACTTTTTGGATTTGCCTTCTCCTGATGCAACAGGGGGGGCTCAGCACAGAGAATATCTTCTAACCTGCTGCTCTTGTGTGGGGGCAGAAAAGCAACACTGCAAAGGGATTCCATTAATGGTGAGAAATATTTGAGAATTTATTAAAAATCTCCGTTTATGTGTGTAAAAGGTCACCTGCATCTGTTTGTATGTGTGTATATAGATATATAATATGAATACTGCAGCACAGTTTCTTATTTTTGTGTATATGTGCTAGATAAAATATACAGAGTGTGTGTACATCATGTCAGTGTATGGGGGTCTGAGACAGAACAGAAAGATTTGAAGCTACCCACTTACTACATTGTAGGGAAATCGTGTGTAACAGAGTAAGCCACTGATTCATTACACAAGCAGGCACAAGTGAGGCTGCCCAAGCAGTCTGATGGCTGTCTTGCTCAAGCTGTTAGGAGCTGTTTTTGTAAGTTTGATGTGCTTGTGCCCTATCTTTGTTTCTAGAATTGCAGTGTTGAGCATACTCAACATATGT